CCAGTGGTAAACTATTCCACAGAGAGGTCGTACGCGGAAGACAACTCCGCGTACGAACGGTGACTCGTGAACAGCTGTAATGATGATAATGATATCTTGCCGTGGGTGTGGTAAGAGACGATAGAGGGACACGAACCAGAAGATTGTACAGCAGCGTCTTCCTTACAGCTTCATCTTAACAAATGTAAATAAAAAATACTGAAGTGATCAATCCACCCGCCAAACGTGGCAACTATGGCAAATTTACCCCTAATTAAGCAACCTATGGGGAGGTCTGTGTTCAGCAGTGGACTTTGGAAGACTAATGAAAAAATATAGCCTGTCTGAATATAACTATATGACAAAGGGTCGATTTTTCACTAGGATATATAAGTTACTATTAAGGTAAAATACATATTCAACGCATTAATAATTAATTATTACTGTTATGTGAATAAAATAGATTAATAATTTTGCTTTGATATTCAATCAAATTATAATTTATTCGATGGATATTTTTATCTGACGATTGAAAATTGATCCTTAACAGACAATTGAAATATAATTCATATAACTACAATTTTAATTTTTTTTTTTTGATGTTGTATTGTATCATTTCAGTAAATTTTATTCGATGATTGAAAAACTCAGATCTAAATATAATAAGAAGATATTTTTATGATTAGTACTCGTACTTGGAGAGAGGCAGGAAGCAGCAAAGATAAAAAATATATTCTATATATATATATATTATATATATATTCATCAAAGGGATTCAGTGAAAGTTTTGACTCTCAAATTATTATGCAACCACTATCTGTTGCCATTTTCTGGGGATTCTCATCGCAGTTCCGGTTTTAAATTTAATTTCGTATGTGCTGTTCAGGCTTTGTTCGGTAGAAAGCAATTCCCACAATCGCTAAACTCAGAGGTACTTGTACTGTATTAAAGCTTGCTAGGCATTTCTACAGAGAATAATCTCAGTAGTGAACTGTACGAGTACTTTTCAACATTGATTGCATGCAGTACTTTCTGTAAATTGAATAAACTGTTTGTTAGCATTATAACTGTATCTAGATATATTAATCTGTGTTTGAGCGTGTGCGTGCATGCGAGTCATGTCCTTTCTCATCTTGTCTTGAAGATATGAGAAGGACACAAACATGTCACACTCACGTGAAGGTATATATGAAATTAAGAACAGTAAAGAGTCACATACTAGGGAACATTTTATAATGCATCTAGATCTGAACATTTTTTTTGTAATTTACAAGATTACCGACGTGTTTCAAACTAAAGATTAGTCGAGAAGTATTTTTTGTATTCAAAAGAACATCATTCAAAAGAATGTCACTGTTTGCTACTCTTTTTTCAAGTTTACTTTAATCTTCGAATAAAAAAAATATATCTCAAAATCCGTCACCACGATATTAACTTTATCGCGGTATTTTCAATATGGAATCTGTCACCTTGCCAAGTCTTGTAATCTAATTTAGGTTGAAAGGAGACTTTCAGCTGTCTTTCAAAGAGTTCTTTGTCAATTTCCTGCAAAGTTTTGTATTATGTTATAAGGTTTGTACACAAGACGTTGAAATAGCTTTTTTACTTTTCTTTAAAATAGGAAAAAACTATTATTTTATAAAGTAACCCTGTTGGTAAAAATGCTATATTTGTAATTTTTATTACTTTATCTTAAAATGGGCGTACTTAATTATATGTGGATTTCTCGTAATATTAATGTTTCTTAACTAAAAAATTTGTCTTGGTCATTGTTTTATTTTTAAATTATAATACGGTTCATATTATTCAGTATACACTAACTTTCAGACAGGCATTTTGATTTTAAATGTTTATGAAGCATTCAATCTTTCTTTGTTGTTAAACCCTCTTTTTAATTCGACCAAGTGATGAAATATAAAGAATGTTTAAAAATTGTTAAACTGTGTACTCCATACGTTAATTCCGTTACTATTACATGTTGATGCAAACATAGAAAATATTATGATGCCTTAGCCTACTTTTATCTTAAAAAAAGCGATGCTATGCCAAATGAGATCAAGTTAAACAGGCTACAGTATCCATTCCAGATAGCCAAATATAATTATAATTCAGCAGATCCTATAACCAATCATTTACATCGATGCGCGTGTATCACATTCGGTTGAAAGGACATTGTTAAATCTCGCCTAAGAACCAACATAAATTTGACAATTACTAAAATTCTTATCCTTAATTATGCATTAGATAACATTCATTAGATAGTTACGGACAATTCTGAATTATGGAGTCAAAATAAAAAGGACTTTTTAGATTTTAAGCTTTGTACGTATTTTTTATTAATTTGCTGCGTCTGGACTCCTGTGATTTGGCCAATCGCACAATACCTCTTACATTTAACAGTATTTCAAAAGTTGTCATAAACTCAAATATATTATGAAAAAGTTAATAATTTAAAATATACTTAAGATTAGTATATACCACAAGGAACTGGAATACAGTAAAATCATTTATTTATTTATTTATTTATTAAAACTTCATATACATAAGTGGTATATAGGCGGACTTAATGCCTAAGGCATTCCTCCCAGTCTACCTTGGGATGATGCAGAGATAGAATGAAGTAGGTGTAATAAAAAGTTAATGTGCGAATACTAAAATAAAATAACAAAAAAATTGTAATACATGGAAATAAAATACATAAGATATAAATGGTACGTCGCAAAAAAATAGATAAAATTACATTAATATTCATACACATATATGTATATAAAATATATAATATACAAAATTACAATAAGAACAATAAGAATATATATAACATATAACATACATATATACATATATATACTTTTCTTTACTCACATATAAACATACATATATACATATATATACATATACATATACTGTAGAAATATCGTCAATACTCGCTTGTGTGTACAATTGCAAGTCATCAGCATACAGATGATACGCAGACTGAAGGTTTTTAGTAATGAGATTAATAAATATAGAAAACAACAAAGGAGATAATATGCCGCCTTGAGGGACACCAGCATGTATGTCAAGCCAGCTAGATGATAGCTCATCGATGCGAACCGACTGCTGGCGCCCTCGAAGATATGATGAAAACCAATCCAGTGCTTCGGGGTGTAAAATCATGTGTATTCATTAAAAATAACAATACTATTGTACTCTCATTAGCCAATCAACATTGTGCTACGCAAAAAAAAATGTTATGTTGACAGGTGACAAGACGATAAAATAGATAGGCGTCAGACGTGTGATCGGTAATTATGTTGTTGAAGTTTGCATGGAGGTCGAACAGGAGTTGATTACTGATTAGTGAATTACGTTTACTACATTCTGAAAATGTATGGCTCTTGAGAGGGAGAATACATAGCCGCCATATTATTAGTAGTAAAACTTATTTTGTATACATTTTGGTTGATGAATCAGAAATTGGGAGGGAGGCAATAAAAAATATCGTTGTAATTGTGTTGTTCGGTCCAGAACTATAGGTTGCTGCGCCCATGTTATGACCGTAATATGGTATTTAAGTTGGGCCCGATATCAAGAAAATATCAACCCCCTGCTCAATTTTTCAATAATATTCTTCTATTTGCTCGAAAGTAATGATGGTTGATAGTATCAATCATTATTTTGGTTGCCAAATGAGTGTATACAGTACATTACATTAGCAATAAGATAGTAATATTTTATAAAAATATAACCTTAAAATCTCTACGATAACTGCTAATATCTCTGTTTTCGGAAGTGTCCATCAAGATTTATTGTTCTTACATACAATTATGTATAATTTCGGACTTAAAAAGGTATTTTTTGTTACTGTTGGTTCTTAGGCGAACATTGTATGGAAGCAGAACAATGTCCTTTAATTTCAATGTTCAATTTCCATTACCATTAAACAATATGTAATTTTATTTTATATTCTATTCAATTTTACAGTGCCTTAGAATATTTCTCATCACTTTCAGACATTTATGCGAATGAAATTTTGATTGCTAGATGTATATTTCAAAAGCTATAGTTTAAGTGAAATGCGCAAAACTGTGCATCACAACTTCGAGCTTAGTGCTCCCAGCAACTACCGGTATAGGTGTGACGTGACGTTACACATGATTTTAGTTTTGTCCAGGCTTATCTTAAGAACTATTCATTGGAAGGCATTATTGAGGTTATTGAGCATAATGCCTATGTCCTCCACGATTCTGCCTTAAGGAATATATCGTCGGCAAATTGAAGGTAAGTTATGTACTCGCCGTTGATATGAATACCATATCCTTCCACGTCCAGTAGCTTAAAAACGTCTTTCAATGCAGCGGTGAAGTTTTGGGGATATAACGTTACGCTGTCTTATACCTCTATGCTATTGGATAGATTTCGTGCTCTGGTTCTGTACTCGAATTGCCATGGTAACTCTACTGCACAACTACGTACACTTCAGCACTTCGATAAACCGACAGTCAACTTGGCGCCGCTGAAGGCGTTATAGAACCACCCAAATTTTGACAGATTCAAAGGCTTTCTCATAGTCCACACATGCAAGGCAAAGTGGCAAATTGTACTCTTTCATCTTCTGTACAATTTTCGAAGGGCAAACTAAAGCCTTTTCGGAAACCGGCTTGTTCGAAAGGCTGGAAGAGTCTGCATTCGAGACGATTCGTAACAAGACTGGAAAGCAGCACATGGACGCGGCAAAGTAAGAAAATCGGTCTGTATTTCTTCAAGAGAGTATTGTCGACTTTCTTGAAGAATAAGACTACAGCACTTTTGCTCCACGTCCTCGTAGTAGTCCCACCATGGAGGACGGAATTAAGGGTAAGATATCGATATGGATAATTTATTTGAGGAATAACTTTTACTTAATGATTAAGGAAAAATAGTCGATATTATTTATCTTATTCGTACTTTTATTTACTGTTCGTGTAGCTTACATTACATGACAATATAAAAATTACGTGACAGTAAGAAGTTCATTACTGAAAACTTTATTGCTAAGTGATATGTACAAAGGAAATCGTCCATATTCAGGGTTCTGCTATAAGGTAATATCATAATTTCATTCTATTCGTCTTATCCCACAACATCGTAAATTATAAAAAAATAAATTATATGTCATATAGGTCAATGCAATTTTTATTTTTAAATCTCATTCTCCTTCTTCTTTATCAGCACGTAGAAGTTCACTGCTGGACATGAGCCTCTCAGATTGTAGAAAAAATTATCTTTAATTGTCGCTCTTGACACAAATTGACGTTCGCAACACGAGACGTCTCGCACCTTTAACGGTGCTTTTCGTCTAAGGTTGTTTTTTATAAAGTCCTTCACGAGTCAGTTGAGCTATAATTTACACAACACAAAGTAAAACTTACTTTTATGTTAATTTAAGGTCTAAAATAAAATCCAGCTGCAGTCGTAAGCTATTTTTATATTTTTACAACTCAACAATAATGTAATATTAAGTGGTTGCTGCGGCCCACAGACATCTACGTCGATCCTCGATTGCCAATCAAAATTCAGATGCATCGTCACCCGTAAGGACTAAGATGGAGTGCCTCGTTTCTAGTAAAAAGGGTCTCCGGTTCTCTACACTCACCATACGTAACACGGCAGCATTAAGCTACTATTTTACGCTGATATCCTGTGATATCTTACCGTATTAAAAACATACGCAATGCACAATGATATCTAATGTTTCACATTACATTGTTTGGCGTGTTTGTCAACGTCGCGTGCGTCGCGAATTACGGTAGAACAAAAGCAGCAATGGTATTGTACAATACGAAAAATAATAAATGAAAGTATACAAAGGTAAATATCATAGTAAAGTATTCGTCTAGATTTAAATTAGTTAAAACAATGATAATTAGTAAAAATTCAACTTATCGATGAAATGTTATGCGTTTATTAGTTGAATTACACGTCCTTGATGAGTTTTTAAAAATGATTATGTTGCAGTTCACCATTATAAGTTTATAATAACATAAATTAACGTACGACGTTCCCCTCGCAACTAAATCAAAAAATAGTGAATGATGTTCGTCTACACATCATAGCGGTGACAAGGTCATGCGTCTATGCGACTTCTATTGTCTTATTATTACCATTTCTGTGATCCGGGCACACTGAACCGCGTGTATAATGCGCGGGCGTCTAACGGCGCTTCAGGAGCATTATACTAAATATATTTACCTAATCACGCTTAAATTTTCATCATTTTAAATAATAATAATAATAAATAATAAAAATGTTTTATTTCAGTAAATCATTTTACAGCTATTTGCCGAGGCCTCCCAGAAAGTAATCATAAGATACTTGTGTTGGGAGAGTCTCGCTCAACCTACGTAATTGTATCAACTTAGATTTACATCAGAAAAAAAATATATAAACATTTTAAACTTAATATTACAGTTATTCATGCATTTTAAAATGAAAGAAAGAAGTTTAGGAGAAATGTATACCTGAGTAGTTGTGTCCGTTGTGTGTTAGTTTATTGTGTGTGTGTGTGTGTGTGTGTGTGTGTGTGTGTGTGTGTGTGTGTGTGTGTGTGTGTGTGTGTGTGTGTGTGTGTGCGCGTGCGTGCGTGTGTGTGTGTGTGTGTGTGTGTGTGTGTGTGTGAGTGTGTGTGTCTGATTTGTTGTGTCAGTGTGTGTTATTTAAAACTGGTTCATCTCTTTCTGAACAAAATATTTTCCACATCATCATAATTAAGAGTATAGAGCCACTCGGTCAGAGTTTTTCTACACTCAAACATTTGCATTGGGTAAATTTTAAGTAAACGGTTGATCTTGTTATAGGCATGAAGAGCTTGAGATATATTTTGTCGAGTGGCAAATACTGTACGTGCAGGGTATGAGGGAGCCACAATATCGCACCGCCTTTTCGTAAGTTTGGTATGGTCAAATGGTAATGTTTTGTGATATCTTAGTATCATGTGTAAAATATAAAGTTTTCTAACGGAGAGCAGCTTAGATGTTTGGTATAGGGTTTCGGTGGAAAACCTATAGGGCCTACAGTACATTACCTTAATCAAGGATCTTTGCGCCCTTTCTAAATCTATAAAGTATGATTTAGCTGCTCCTCCCCATACGGATATGCAGTAGATTATTACAGACTGGGCTAGTGCGATATATATTTTATTCAGTAGCTTGGTACTCATCACGTTTCTCAGAGATTTGAAAACCCACATGAGCTTCCTTACCCTCCCAATTGTTAGTTCTAGGTGTGGATACCAACTTAAACTTTGATTATTTGTTATTAAACTTTGATATATTGTTACTTGGGAATATAATCCGAAGCTCTGCGTAACCCCTTGGAGAAAATAGGGTTGGTAGTGGGTGAGTAGTGGTTTTTGGCGGTGGTGGGTTGGACATTTTTGATTGAAAAAAAAGGTTGATTGTTGAGTTCATAATAGCTTAGATAGGATAATCTCAAGATTTTTCACTATACAACATTACGGTTTTAGAATGCAATCGATCATATAATTATATTCATCTTTTTGTTGTGTGAACAAGTCTATCGATTCTTTATAAACATTCAGGATAAATATGGACATTAATTTTGATATATTTGGATCAATCCCTACGTTTATGTAAAATATTTTATGTAAAAATTAATTTACCAATGTCATACAAATTATCAACAGTGTGAGTTTTTTCTTTGCAAAATATCAAACTTAATAAAATAAAGAAGAATATTTTATACTGATTAAAACTGAATTTACGGATTTTATCGTGTTTATTTAACTGATTTTACTTATTTTTAATTCCCGACTTTTCAGGCTAACTATGACATTGGGACGTCAAACATCTCAGCCCCCCCGTGACTATGGGTGCTGTAAAGCACCCGAAACGTCGGGAATTAAAAATAAGTAAAATCAGTTATCAATCGATAAAATCCGTAAGTTTAGTTTTATTCAATGTGTAGTGTTCGCTTAAATTTAAGAAATCATTAATATTTTATATGTTAAACAGTTTAAAAGACAAATTTTAACCAAAAAAAGGCGGCTCATAGCAGTAACGACGTCTTGCAAATTTACCTGTGATTTGTGCAATCATCAAGATTATTTCTATTGTTGACACCACAGACACTCAGAAAATATGTGACTATTTTGGAAAACAATTAATTACAAAATTAATCACTCTTATGTTCCAAAAATTACAAAATATCTAGGAGCTTATTTCTTACATGACGGCCTATCAACTAAATCGGTCACAAAGTTATGAGTTTTGCTATCCTATTCTGTCTTGCATTTTTGCCGTAGGGAATTTTCTTCTCTCTTTCACACTATGTCCGTCTATATATTCTATGTATATGGTTACTTCCAAAAACTACAAGTAAAAAACCACGTGTCAAGCGTGGCTACAATGACAAATGAATGTGAATTAATCTATGTAAGGTTTATGTTCAGCTGTGGAATTATAGTAGGATTTAATAAATAAATAAAAACAATAACCAGACAAGTTAAAGTTACGTAACCTAGCGGTGAAACATTAGCGACTTATGAATTCCGCAACCGTTCAAAGCATTTTCTAATAAAACAACGTGTCGGATACACAACAATACACACTACATACCAATTGTCTTTTTATATATTATATTGACTCGGTTTGGGAATCCAACCCCATTAAGTATAGCCAACCACTTAACCATGCCGTTCTTTATAGAATTCAACATCAAAATGTTGTGTAAGTGTATAGAACCGGATATGCCCTTTTTAGGCATTCCATCTTGGCCCTCACGGGTGACAACGCATCTGCATTTTGATTTGTAATCGAGTATAGATGTAGATGTCTATGTGCCACAGCATCCACTTATCATCAGGTGGACCGTGTGCTACTTTGTCACCCTATCCTATAAAAAAACATTGTTAATGATGGTTATTTTTTCTTAATATTACTGACACTCAATGATTATTGCTTAACCCCGCGCGTTTGACCATTCTCCATTATGTAATTGATCATGAATTTTATAATTCCTTTCCAGGAGCAAGAAGTCGCTGTTAAATTAAAGCTACTAAATCGTCATAAAATATTAGCCTTGCATGGCATGCCTGGTTGCGGTAAAACGACGGTGGCGATCAGCGTACTCCGGACCAACCCTGACCTTGTTGAAAAAAAGGTTGATTGTTGAGTTCATAATAGCTTAGATAGGATAATCTCAAGATTTTTCACTATACAACATTACGGTTTTAGAATGCAATCGATCATATAATTATATTCATCTTTTTGTTGTGTGAACAAGTCTATCGATTCTTTATAAACATTCAGGATAAAAATTGGAAATTAATTTTGATATATTTGGGTCAATCCCTACGTTTATGTAAAATATTTTATGTAAAAATTAATTTACCAATGTCATACAAATTATCAACAGTGTGAGTTTTTTTCTTTGCAAAATATCAAACTTAAGAAAATAAAGAAGAATATTTTATATTGATTAAAACTGAATTTACGGATTTTATCGTGTTTATTTAACTGATTTTACTTATTTTTAATTCCCGACTTTTCAGGCTAACTATGACAGTGGGACGTCCAACATCTCAGCCCCCCCCCCCGTGACTATGGGTGCTGTAAAGCACCCGAAACGTCGGGAATTAAAAATAAGTAAAATCAGTTATCAATCGATAAAATCCGTAAGTTTAGTTTTATTCAATGTGTAGTGTTCGCTTAAATTTAAGAAATCATTAATATTTTATATGTTAAACAGTTTAAAAGACAAATTTTAACCAAAAAAGGCGGCTCATAGCAGTAACAACGTCTTGCAAATTTACCTGTGATTTGTGCAATCATCAAGATTATTTCTATTGTTGACACCACAGACACTCAGAAAATATGTGACTATTTTGGAAAACAATTAATTACAAAATTAATCACTCTTATGTTCCAAAAATTACAAAATATCTAGGAGCTTATTTCTTACATGACGGCCTATCAACTAAATCGGTCACAAAGTTATGAGTTTTGCTATCCTATTCTGTCTTGCATTTTTGCCGTAGGGAATTTTCTTCTCTCTTTCACACTATGTCCGTCTATATATTCTATGTATATGGTTACTTCCAAAAACTACAAGTAAAAAACCACGTGTCAAGCGTGGCTACAATGACAAATGAATGTGAATTAATCTATGTAAGGTTTATGTTCAGCTGTGGAATTATAGTAGGATTTAATAAATAAATAAAAACAATAACCAGACAAGTTAAAGTTACGTAACCTAGCGGTGAAACATTAGCGACTTATGAATTCCGCAACCGTTCAAAGCATTTTCTAATAAAACAACGTGTCGGATACACAACAATACACACTACATACCAATTGTCTTTTTATATATTATATTGACTCGGTTTGGGAATCGAACCCCATTAAGTATAGCCAACCACTTAACCATGCCGTTCTTTATAGAATTCAACATCAAAATGTTGTGTGAGTGTATAGAACCGGATATGCCCTTTTTAGGCATTCCATCTTGGCCCTCACGGGTGACAACGCATCTGCATTTTGATTTGTAATCGAGTATAGATGTAGATGTCTATGTGCCACAGCATCCACTTATCATCAGGTGGACCGTGTGCTACTTTGTCACCCTATCCTATAAAAAAACATTGTTAATGATGGTTATTTTTTCTTAATATTACTGACACTCAATGATTATTGCTTAACCCCGCGCGTTTGACCATTCTCCATTATGTAATTGATCATGAATTTTATAATTCCTTTCCAGGAGCAAGAAGTCGCTGTTAAATTAAAGCTACTAAATCGTCATAAAATATTAGCCTTGCATGGCATGCCTGGTTGCGGTAAAACGACGGTGGCGATCAGCGTACTCCGGACCAACCCTGACCTGATTACGAACAATTTCAATGGCGTGGTGTTCTGGCTCAACTTCGGCAATTGTAAAACTGAAGATGATATCACTGCAATGCAAAACAAGTAAGTAATAAGGCAATCGAACTTCCACCGGAGGTTCTTAACACTCCCTGCGCCATTGTTATCATAGTCGCCACCATAGCCAGGAATATCGGGGCCGCCGGAGACGGGAGGCTGTCTTTTTGTAATTCTCATCTTGGCGTCAGTGTGTGTTATTTAAAACTGGTTCATCTCTTTCTGACCAAAATGTTTTCCACATCATCATAATTAAGAGTATAGAGCCACTCGGTCAGAGTTTTTCTACACTCAAACATTTGCATTGGGTAAATTTTAAGTAAACGGTTGATCTTGTTATAGGCATGAGGAGCTTGAGATATATTTTGTCGAGTGGCAAATACTGTACGTGCAGGGTATGAGGGAGCCACAATATCGCACCGCCTTTTCGTAAGTTTGGTATGGTCAAATGGTAATGTTTTGTGATATCTTAGTATCATGTGTAAAATATAAAGTTTTCTAACGGAGAGCAGCTTAGATGTTTGGTATAGGGTTTCGGTGGAAAACCTATAGGGCCTACAGTACATTACCTTAATCAAGGATCTTTGCGCCCTTTCTAAATCTATAAAGTATGATTTAGCTGCTCCTCCCCATACGGATATGCAGTAGATTATTACAGACTGGGCTAGTGCGATATATATTTTATTCAGTAGCTTGGTACTCATCACGTTTCTCAGAGATTTGAAAACCCACATGAGCTTCCTTACCCTCCCAATTGTTAGTTCTAGGTGTGGATACCAACTTAAACTTTGATTATTTGTTATTAAACTTTGATATATTGTTACTTGGGAATATAATCCGAAGCTCTGCGTAACCCCTTGGAGAAAATAGGGTTGGTAGTGGGTGAGTAGTGGTTTTTGGCGGTGGTGGGTTGGACATTTTTGATTGAAAAAAAGGTTGATTGTTGAGTTCATAATAGCTTAGATAGGATAATCTCAAGATTTTTCACTATACAACATTACGGTTTTAGAATGCAATCGATCATATAATTATATTCATCTTTTTGTTGTGTGAACAAGTCTATCGATTCTTTATAAACATTCAGGATAAATATGGACATTAATTTTGATATATTTGGGTCAATCCCTACGTTTATGTAAAAATTAATTTACCAATGTCATACAAATTATCAACAGTGTGAGTTTTTTCTTTGCAAAATATCAAACTTAATAAAATAAAGAAGAATATTTTATATTGATTAAAACTGAATTTACGGATTTTATCGTGTTTATTTAACTGATTTTACTTATTTTTAATTCCCGACTTTTCAGGCTAACTATGACATTGGGACGTCAAACATCTCAGCCCCCCCCCCCCCCGTGACTATGGGTGCTGTAAAGCACCCGAAACGTCGGGAATTAAAAATAAGTAAAATCAGTTATCAATCGATAAAATCCGTAAGTTTAGTTTTATTCAATGTGTAGTGTTCGCTTAAATTTAAGAAATCATTAATATTTTATATGTTAAACAGTTTAAAAGACAAATTTTAACCAAAAAAGGCGGCTCATAGCAGTAACGACGTCTTGCAAATTTACCTGTGATTTGTGCAATCATCAAGATTATTTCTATTGTTGACACCACAGACACTCAGAAAATATGTGACTATTTTGGAAAACAATTAATTACAAAATTAATCACTCTTATGTTCCAAAAATTACAAAATATCTAGGAGCTTATTTCTTGCATGACGACCTGTCATCTAAATCGGTCACAAAGTTATGAGTTTTGCTATCCTATTCTATCATGCATTTTTGCCATAAGGAATTTTCTTCTCTCTTTCACACTATGTCCGTCTATATATTCTATGTATATGGTTACTACCAAAAACTACAAGTAAAAAACCACGTGTCAAGCGTGGCTACAATGACAAATGAATGTGAATTAATCTATGTAAGGTTTATGTTCAGCTGTGGAATTATAGTAGGATTTAATAAATAAATAAAAACAATAACCAGACAAGTTAAAGTTACGTGACCTAGCGGTGAAACATTAGCGACTTATGAATTCCGCAACCGTTCAAAGCATTTTCTAATAAAACAACGTGTCGGATACACAACAATACACACTACATACCAATTGTTTTTTTATATATTATATTGACTCGGTTTGGGAATCGAACCCCATTAAGTATAGCCAACCACTTAACCATGCCGTTCTTTATAGAATTCAACTTCAAAATGTTGTGTGATATAAACAGAATTATTGAATAATAAAAATGTCAATCAAAAATGAAATCCCCTACAAAGTCTCTAATAAAATTTCAATCCCGCTCGGTAGCTTTTTTTATTTCGTACAAGAGTACCGGGGTTCCTCGATAGTCCCAATTTCGTCGTACGATATTCAAGAGATAATAAAAATATTAGAACCTTTTCTGTACATTAGATATTCGTGTTTATGTAAAAAGATGTTATTCAATTTGACAGGGTACATTTAGTTCACCAATATCGCATAAATGATTCAGTTTTAGACTCTTGAAGATTCAGTTAAATTTTAGTCAGTGTACCTCAAAAGAACCATAAGAAATGCTAAAATGAAAACAGAATCGACAAAACACTTTTCAGAAGGATTGGACTTTGAAATACCATTATTTCGGCACTGGTGATATTACTGTTAGTATAGCCTATTAAAAGTCTATTGCTCAACATAGGCCTCCCCCATAGATTGCCTTATAGGGGAGATATATGCCATACATTGCTACTATTGACGGATGGGTTGGCGACCGCTGTTTGTATTTTAAGTTATTAGGCGCTACTGCCCATTTCCTGATTTTTGCCTCTGTCGCATCTTACGACTAACCCACGTCGATATTGGATAGTGAATATTCTTACACCATCACTATACGGCTAATATATTGATTACATAATAGCTAGTGTGGTTTTTTACTTGTAGTTTTTGGTAATAATAAAAAAAGTTGCGAGACATTTGGCATTGTGATTTTTAGTGAGCTGTGGTAGCTCAGATGGTTAGCGCTCGCTGTAAATTTCACAATACGCGAGCAAACCGGGTTTAATCCCCGCCGGCACCAATGAAATTGTTAATTGCAATTTTAAGTGCTGATTTACCACGTGCTCGGCGGTGAAGGAAAACATCGTGAGGAAACCTGGATGTCTGAGAAATAGGAAAAAATATATTACGAAGACATGTGAAGTTCGCCAACACGCATTGGGGCAGCGCGGCGGACTATTCCTTGCCCTAAAACCCTCTCATAAATGAGAGGAGGCCTGTGCCCAGCAGTGGGACGTATATAGGCTGTAACTTAACTTTACTTTACTTTATTGTTAATGCATCTGCAAAGCGTGACGATTTAGGCAATTCCTTTCAACAATGTGAGAGGTTCTATGTCCAGCGGATTATTACCGAATGTTGAAGAAAAAGAAAAACTTTACTTTTCTTAGAAAATTTGGAAGGTCGGCATGCTGAGATTTTGAGGCTTGACGCTTGATATAATCCAAGAACGTATGACGTATTTTTTAATTAGATGTTTATATTAAAAGTGGTAGAGCCACGCTGCACCTATATTGTGGCTGTAGCACAAATGGGTCGGCTCGGCCGAGGAAGTACTCTCACAGAATAAATAACAGCGTAAAATAGCAACTTAATACTGCTGTGTTTCATATGGTCCAGAGACCCTTTTTTACTGGAAACGGGGCATTCCATTGTAATCTTTAGGGGTGACAACGCATCTTCATTTTGGTTCTTAATCGAGGATAAATGTAGATGTCTATGGGATACAGCATCAACTTGGCATCAGGTAAAAGAATTAAAATAAAACAACTGTTTGTATTATAGTTTTCTGGAAGAAAATTATTTTAATTTTAATTATTATTATTTTAAAATGGAAGCGGCACAGGAACTTATATCTTCATTATAGATTTATTAAACCTAAGTTACTACCGCAGCCTATGAACACTTGCAACAAACTTCAAGCAATGAAGGCTACACATGCGATGCTACGTGCGTACGAGGGTTTCGATGAGATGCCTCATAGTCCATTACTCTCTCATTTCCGAATACCAGTGCAACTACTGCTGCAGATATGGGTATATAATATAGATATAGATATAGCAGATAAAGGTTTCTTACATCTTCATTATTCGTGAATATGTACCGTGGTACGGAACAGCAAAGCCACTGAAATAACAGAAAGCAATCGACGATACTTAATTGGATCGTACGGTTCACTATTGAGCTTAGCCCCGGTAGAGTTGCCCGACACGCTTCGTCTCTCTACTCGAATGCAGCACAATGCATCGCTTGTAAGCCTAGTCGTCGAGGGATTTGTGTCGAGCCAAACAATACAAATGTCGAGCTCGGGATCAATTTAAAAGCGGGTAGCGATACTCCTAATAGATTAAAATATAAATCTATTTTCCATTGTTTTTTCAGTTCTTATTCTCATACAATATTTCATAATCATTAATTAAATTATTTTATTCTATGTATAACTGCTATATTATTCTATATATATTTTTAAATACATGTACATTTCATTACTAATTTTAATTAGAAGATATAATTATAAAATGGGAAGATATACTGAAGTCAGACCCAATTGCACTAACGCCCATTATTGTTACACAATTATCTACACTTAAAATTGGTATATCATAATTCATAAATTAATCATTAACATAAAAAATTATAAAATGCCTCAAAGATTCAAGTGTAATTAGAGTAGAATTTATATTTTATAAATTAGCAGTTATGTAATATTAAATTTACATTTCAATTATTACAAATTTAAACAAATCATATTTATTATCTAAATATAATTAAAATAATTCAATGATAATAGCAAGGAAATCACTAAGACTTAGCAATATCGACGATATAGAAAATATCGTCGAGAGTTTAGGTTAGTTTGAATGACTTTGAATTTTTCCAATAGATTTCCTTCTTACGGTTCACTTGGAAATAAAACTATATTAAAGAATTTGCAAAGGGTTACGGAAACAGAGACTCCGTAATACGTTTCCTTAATGGAATTCTGAATATTTCAAGATGATCACAGTG